CCTATTCATTCCAAATGAATCCTATATAAGTTCATTTTCTACTTGAGTTACATTTCTAATGCATACATTTGTAATGACATCATCATCAACAATAGTAAATCTCCACATTTATTGTTCTGCTAAAACCATCTCAATCAAGGTTAACTTTCATCTTCACTGATGTTCCATGTAGTTATGTCTCCTATCATTCTTTCTCCTGTAACCTGAACTTGTTCTTTAATTTTAGTGAACTCTTGTGAATACCTCATACACAACATAGTATCTGTGAATAACTACATATATATATGTGTGTGTGTGTGTATAAATATCTGTGTGTGTGTGTGTGTGTGTGTGTGTATGTGTATGTGTTTCTGGATTTTCTTCCCTTTTTGAAGTGCTGCTTGTCTTTCAGTATCAAACTACACACCATTGTGGAACATTCCCTGAATTATTTCTCCATTCTCCAACTGAATTTTGCTACTTCTCTGTACAGTTGATGCTACATTGACTCTTAACTATACCGTGAGTTTCTTGACTGCTGGAACTGAGTCTTATTTAATATTGTGTCTCTAGCATGTGAACAATGTTGGACACTTAAATCTTATACAACATTAAGAAAGGCTCATGTCTTCACAGTTGAATGATTTATAATCCTTTGGATATATACCCAGTAATGGGATTGCTAGGTCAAATGGTATTTCTGGTTCTAGATCCTTGAGGAATCGCCACACTGTCTTCCACAATGGTTGAACTTTTACACTCCCACCAACAGTGTAAAAATGTTCCTATTTCTCCACATCCTCTCCTGTATCTGTTGTTTCCTGACTTTTTAATGAATGCCATTCTAATTGGCATGAAATGGTATCTCATTGTGGTTTTGATGCGCATTGCTCTAATGAGCAGTGATGATGAGCTTTTTTTCATATGTCTGTTGGCCACATATATATCTTCCTTTAAAAAGTGTCCGTTCATTTTTTTGCCCACTTTTTGATGGGGTTGTTTGTTCTTTTCTTGTAAATTTGTTTAAGTTCCTTGTAGATTCTGGATATTAGCCCTTTGTCAGATGGATAGATTGCAAAACTTTTCACCCATTAGGGTGCCTGTTCACTGTGATGATAACAAAGACTTGGAACCAACTTAAATGCCCATCAATGATAGACTGGATAAAGAAAATATGACACATATACACCATGGAATACTATGCAGCCATAAAAAAAGATGAGTTCATGTCCTTTGCAGGGACATGGATGAAGCTGGAAACCATCATTCTTAGCAAACTAACACAGGAACAGAAATCCAAACACCACATATTCTCACTCATAGGTGGTAGTTGAACAATGAGAACACATGGACACAGGGAGGGGAACATCATACACCAGGGTCTGTCAGGGGGTGAGGGGTTAGGGGAGGGATAGCATTAGGAGAAATACCTAATGTAGATAATGGGTTGATGGGTGCAGCAAACCATCATGGCACGTGTATACCTATGTAACAAACCTGCATGTTCTGCACATGTATCCCAGAACTTAAAATATAACAAAAAAAAAAAGAAAGAAAAAGAAAAAGAAAAAACAGGCTCTATATGACAGGTTAAGGGGTTTAGAGTCAATGGAGAGTCGGAAGGATTTTTTCAAACCAGCAAGTGAGACATTTGAAGTAGGAGGGGTCTTGCTGTTGTTATTGATACTGATTTGTGGTTTAGTAAATATTTTGGTTACTTTACTGTTAACCATCATCTTCTCTCTTTTCCCTAATGGAAAAATTGACCACTAGCTTTGTAAGACTATAGTTTTCACTGATGTACTGAAAGATTTTTTCCTGAATCCAGCTGTGTTTTATTAGTCAAGGTAACTGTCATTTTTTCCCTTAACAATGTCTCCCTATGTTAATTTATTCTCTGTTTTGATTGCTACTATTTTATTTCAGGCCCTCATCATCTCACATCCAAATAGCTGCAGGAAGAGAGAGAATAGGAAGGAAGAAAAAAAAAAAGGAAGGGAGGACTGAGAAAGGACGGAAAACAAGAAAGGAAGGGAGGACTGGGACTATGTTCCGACACCTTTCCGAGACCAATTAAATCAGAGTTTTAGAGAAATGGTCAAGACATTCAGTTTTTCTGTGTGCCACCAGGGTTGAGAGCCATTGCCTTTTTGGTCCATCCAAATTTGATTAACTTTACCTCTGAACCTTAACACAAAAACTCTATTAACCTTTTTAAAACACAACATTCAGTGCATGTTTTACTCCTAAATTTCCTCAGTCAGAGACTGTAGGTAATTTACCAAGTTTCTGATTGCATGGGATAGACAGTTCTACTGATAAAACTGTATGAGTTTAATATAGTTCCAAGGCCAGTACTTTCCTGACTTGACTCATTCTCTTAAAAATCTAAGCATTCTGCAGAGAGTAAGCTTCTCCTGCCTCTGGAGTCCAAGGTGAATATTTATGGAAATAAACTTTCAAACTTGTATTTGATTCTTCTTCTGACGTTCAATTTTCCCTCATGTCAACCTATGTGCTTTCCTGTCTGGCCTTTCTCCTCCAGATTGACTGAATGACATTTAATCACGTCTTTCTCTTTTCTGTGATGTCTCTACAGATTGATGGCTACATAATCATAGCCCTAATTGTGCAGGGTTACAAAAACACCCTCATCTCTATCTTGTCCGTATAGAAACTCAAAAGCAAAGGTATCTGAAAATAGTCATTAAGGATTGCAGGCATGGAGCTAGGGACAAGCACAAAATGACAAATGAAGCATCATTTCATTTCTATATTAATATGAGTGGGTCTAAAATGTAGCTTCTTTGTAATATGTGAGATTGTGATCTTGTCTTCCATGACTGCCTGCCTTGATTTTAACAACATATAGCATTTTCCAATACCTGCATTCATTTTTAGGAAAACAATTTTTATTTTATCTCAGTAGCATACTAGCTAGAAGTTATTTTCTTCTACTCTATGATTAAGCACTGAAGTGTCTGAAGGAAGTGGCACTCTTAAATTTCCTAGTATTCTTAGATGGCAGTTTTACACACTTAAAACACTGAGCTTCTCAGTCCACTGATTGGTACTGCTTGGATCACTGGTCCTTGGTGAGATTTAGTCCTGTATTCTAATACTGGGCATTATGTTTTTCCTGCATCCTATCCTATTTAGATTGGCCATCCTTTGAACTGGGATCTTGCTGTGTTCCTTTTTACTTGTTATTCTTCACCTCTCTGCTGTGGAGGGGCTGACACTTGTGCTTTTTATTTTTAATTTTGTAATAAGCCCAGTACTATAAATATCTTCTCCAACTCTGTGGCTTGCTTTTTCACTTTATTGCTGATGTCACTGATTTTTCCCTAGTTATTGGAATAGCTAGCATCTATAAATCTTGTAGGTCTCACCTTAGATGTAAAGATCTCAGAAGAACCTTCTTAGATTACTTTATTTAGGATTAAGTCAATGAAGCATTTTAAACAAAGGCACAATATGATCAAATTTACTTATTTAGAGGATCATTCATGCTGTTGTGTCAATAATAGATATAGGAGAAGTGTTAGCATTTTATTGAAAAATTCTTAAGATATCTTGGTTGATTATGGCTTAAGACTGTGGCAACAGAGGTAAAAAGAACTCCATGGATCCTAGATATATTTAATAAAGAAATTTGGGAGTTGATGTTAAATGTAAGAGATTGAGAGAGGGTGCTTATATGCATGTCCTTTAGATTTCTAGTTTCAGTAAGTATCTGGATAGATAATACAATAATACAGTGCAATACCATACAATCACTTGTATCATTAGGACTGAGTACACAGTAGATTCCATCACCCTTATAGATGAACTCTTGCTCTGTTGCCCAGGCTGGAGTGCAGTGGTGTGATCTCAGCTCAATGCAACCTCCGCCTCATGGGTTCAAGCGATTCTCCTGCCTCTCAGCCTCCCAAGTAGCTGGGATTCCAGGCATGCACCACCATGCCTGCTAAATTTTTATATTTTTAGTAGAGACGGGGTTTTACCATATTGGTCAGGCTGGTCTTTAACTCCTGACCTTGACCTTGTGATCCGCCCACCTCGGCCTCCCAAAGTGCTGGGATTACAGGCATGAGCCACTGCGTCTAGCCAACAGTATGTTTTTAATATAATATTTATCTGAATAAGTGAGTGAATGGATGGATGAATAAACCATTTCTGATCAGAAGGAAAAATAAGGATTTTATGGGGCAATTTTTTTTTGTTTTGAATAAGATTTCTAGATCTTGAAGCAGGAGTAAGATTTAGACAGTTATGGATCAAGTAACGAATACACATGTACTGAATTCCTAAGTGAATGAATGGTAAAAGGGAATGCAGAAATTCCAGGTGGACAGATGAGTTTGAATAACAGCCATGAAGCAACATGGTACAGAATCTGTTTGGCAATTGTGAAGAGTTTACTTTGGCTCAGGCCTAGGCTAATGGAAGGGAGTGGTAGAAAACCAAAGCACCCATGTAGCAAGCTCAGAACTTTGACTTTGGGTGTTAAATGGAGGGCTTATGATATTATCAACATTGTTGTTTTCCGTAAGATTTAATTTTCCTGCTCGGTGAGATCTGGTGATGATAGAATACTGGAATAATCATAACCTCACATGTTTGCAGAGACATGTAGTCTCTTGAGTTCTCACTTGGCACCCTCTGGAAGAAAATACCTAACATTTTCTTTTTTCCTAAAGGGGCATCTTACCTTCCAGGTTAGCTATTCAATCTAATATGAAAACATGTTAGAGGAGTAGGAGGAAGAGCGGTATAGTGGTGTGTAATCATCGGTCAGAATGAAGTGCTCAGGTTTTAGATAGTCATGTTTATATGATCACTTGCATTTTAAATTCTGCTCAAAGCATTGGGAACCAGAATCATTGTAGTTACCGTAAGAGCATCCAGAAGTCTCTTAAATAATTTTCATAGTCTTAAATAACAGGAACATTGAATTCATGTATTGTTGGTATTATTAAAACATTTGATAATATGCATTATATATTTTTGTATTACAGAATAAATTATCAAGTCATTATTGAGAATTTGTATCTAAGTGACCTGGCAGAAACCATGGAGATGATATTGGTAAACTCACCTAATTTTTAAATCTTCTCACAGAGTTTAATTTTGCCCTTTTGTGTCAACGCAAATGACAGGCTCTATTGCCTCCACTTCTTTCCAAACTCATGTCCCACTATCTATAAGAAATGCTTTCTCTGCATTTGCAAGGAGATTGCTCAGGCTTCTATTTATGAGCCCCTGAACAGCAGAATAGACAGCTCCATTGAGACTCTTTTGCCTTTGTGTGGTACACAAGGACCTACCACTAGGAGAAGATAAGAACTTAGGTCTATAACTCATTGAAAAAATACAAAACAAAACAGAAAAACCCCAGCAATCAATTATTTCTGCTCTCTGTTGGAACTGGAGATCCTCCTTTTTAACTGAATTAGCATATTTCTGTGCTCAGGAACTGTGCCTATTATGAAAATTTATAATCTGTTTAGAGTACCTAATACAGTATTCTTATTCTTAAATAAGTTCCTAAATAAATATTTTTGAAATTATATTTCCCTTAATTCATTCAACTTGGGCAGTTAATGAGATTATTTGTCAATGGATATTGACTATAAAAATCAATGCTGAAGCCTTTACTAATTATTTATACTAATGTACCATTTCATGTTTTTTCTAGCTTCCTATGCAGACAGCCTAGTTAAGTCTGATTATGCCCATGGGCCTGTCTCTGTAGAACAGGCAGAGACCTTATTGCTAAATAAAGTACAATGAAGAAAAGTATTTTTTTGCATGTTAGTTCCTTGTTTTGCATTTTATGGAGTTATAATAGATGGAGCTTGAAGAGATGAGCTGAAATAAAGGTAGGCAATTCAAAGATATTTTGACTGGAACTGCTGGGTAAGTGAGTGGATAGAAAATGCTAGAATACCTGAGCATTCTCTCCCAGTGGCCTAGTTGAACCCCAGGGAACAATTTGTTCTGAGGTTGTTTTAAAGACACTGATAAATAAGGAGGCATCCTTTAAGCTAGTTAAAGCTAGACTGAATAAGATAGTTTAATTTGGTATTAATTCAAGACATGAGTAGTGATGGTAAGTCTGATAAGGCAGGTAGCTCTCTGTACTCACTTGGCCATTCATTCTAAAGGAAAAATCAAAGACTGCAAAAATGCCATGTTATTAAACATTTCTTAGGAGCTAAGCATGTCTGGAGACCCATCACAGCCGCTTAAGCCCATAAATTACTAAACGTGATATCTATGCTATTTATTAAGACAGAAAAAGGCACAAGTGTTTTTTTAAAAATGCACAGACATTACATGGAGGCATATATTTTTCCAAACCAGGACTTATCTTGAGATAGTTTAGAACCATCAACAAACTACTCTAACGAGGCTGCTTTCTGAGGGAAAGCAATCTCAGTAAATCACTCTGCTTTTCTTTGGTCTTTTCACTTTGCATATAAGATTTTAACCACATTTGATAGAGGAAGTGACTCTTTGGGCCAAAATACTCAACAAACTTCTTATCCACAGATAGAGGTAAATGGCAACCATAGCTCTTCAGTGACAGCGTTAGTCATTGAGATTTGCTTTTAACTTGTTAGAGAGTGAAATAACACTGGTAAGTTCTATAAGATGTTTCACAGTGTTCCTAAGTGTGTCATCCCTGTGCTTATGCATTTGTTTCAAGGATATAAAGAGCAAAAACTCAAAGCAACGTGTTCTGATCAAGAAACGGCTGGAAATGGCAGCAACCTGATATAGAACAATCAAGAACTGAAGGTTTGTTTTGAACGAGAGGTGTTGTCCAACTGTGAGACTGAATGAAGCTGAGAATGAATGGAAACACAATCAACAGTCACTCCAGCTGTGCAGTTATTGAGACCTACCTTGAAAATTTCATGTCTCTTCTCTCTCTGCAGCCACGTTAACACTGCATCCACAGGTTGCAATACTGTTAATGAAGGAGAGAAAAAGTCCTTCCATTTATTCTTATTCTTGTTCTTAATGAAAATTTTTGAGCTGTTACATTTTGAAATGACAATGATAAAGCAACTCTTTGAGAATAAGAGAGACAATATATTACAAAGTCAACTTGTATATTGGACAGGTAAAAATGCCTCCTGGTTACATTGTCTTTAACACATTTCTTCTATGGTCAGTCATCAATGTTGTTTTCTGTTTTCTGTCGTTGTATGGTTACGGATAAACTCATTGTATTCTTCCTGGTCCCTACCAATGTTGTCCTTATATTGATACAGGCATCAGGAACTACTCAATAAATATTTGTTGTGGGACAAACTATAATTGCAATGTGCCATATTTGGATAATACTTTACAGTTTGCAAAGCTCTTTAGCATACCTTATTTAGTTAAACCACACTGTAACGCAAAAGCACTGTCCAAAATGTGTGCTTCTTAAGCCTTATATTATAGTCACACCTCATATCTCACACACAAATATCAAGACACAGAGAGATAGACAGACACATAACTACATAAGCAGTATTCCCCAAACTCATACTTTGTGCTTCATTTAGGATTTCTTACCAATATAATTTTCATTTGGAAAGCCTTCTCTCCTCTTCATATTATGAAAAAGACCACTTGATGAAATAGTTGTTTTTTTTCTGTTTTGGTTCCTATAACTATGTAAGACATTGATGAGGCCCATCACAACATGGAGTACAACTGTAAATAAGATGAAGTTCTTGACTTCAGGGAGACTAAAATCCACTTATTTTCTTCACCTAATCCTCCCCAACTAGCAGTCTCACTAGACAATGCCATTTGTTTTAAGCACTTATTTTAGAAACTTGGGAGGTGAGCTGGAGCCTGGGAAGCCTTTACACTTGTTGGAACTCTTCTATGCTTACATGTAAGGCTTTTTTTCATCTGGTTGCTTTTATAATGCAAAAGGCAGAGGCAAATTATACAGAACACAATCAGTGGGTCCAGAGTATTGAAACACTCCTCTTAACGACAATGTCAAGTTACTTAATTTGTTCATGAAGCACTTGAAAAATGAGAAAGAACAGCAGGTCTTCAAGAGAGAACAGGGAAAGAGTTGGCCCCGAGTGTTTTATTACCAAAAGAGGGTGTTAACATGCATAGAAATGTCAGATCTCTACTAAAAAAAAAAAAAAATCAATGAATGACATATCCAGTTGCAGCTCACTCAACCCTGATTTAACAATCATTTGAGACCTTACAAGGGAATGATTTTGAAGAATAAAAAGCATTTCGGTTTCACCCACTGAGTATTAATGCATTTGAAACATTGGAGGGAAGACGTCAAAAGAAAACAAAATCTGTACTGCCACCTACATTCTCTTAAACAGAAGAATATAATGTAGTTGTATGAAGGCAAGTTCTGTAAAACATGACTTTTATTAAAATGTGTGTAACCCCGTAGGCTTGAAAAGTGTCAGATTTTACCATAAGATAAACTGATAATATCACTACTTGGTATTGAAACAGCATTCTTCTTTTGAGAACCCCCAAGCAGTTAATGGGTATAACTTAATCTTCATGTGTAGACATTTGGTATTTTAGCCAGTGGGCTTTAACAAATCAAGAAAACCTGCAAAGTGACCAGGTCTCAGTGTAGGTGAAATTTTTAGCAATTTCACTAACTTCAATTTCTTACTGTGACCCTGAAAAACAACAGGGGAATGGTCCCTACACCGAGGCAAAGGATGCACCTGGGCAGTGTCTCCATGAAGTGTTGCTACATGTGTCCAGGGACACCATTAAAAGCCCCAGCCCTGACACTTCTATACTCCATTTAATGCTCTCAGTTAAAGGGGATCGCTTTAACTCAATCACTTCTTGGAAAGGTGACTTTTACTCGGAAATGGTAGAGGGCTTATTCTAAAATGAAAATCTGGTGAAGAGACTACATAAGACTCTCAGGCATGATAGTAATATTTTATTTAAAACATATTCTATTTAAGCATTTATATTTCACATCAAGATTTTTGTTTTAGAGTTGAGGTACCATACTAAAGTACAATGGAGTTCTTATGATATTAGGATTTCTGCAAGATAAAGCACTTGTTGCCATAGGGATAAGTAAATAGTCCTGATCTGAGACACTAGTTCCCACTGCCAAGACATGGGTGGGAGAAGGTGGTTCCCACAGACTGTTTTCTCTAGATAAAAATACAGTGAGGTTTCTATTTAAGGGCAATTTTTAAAAATTCTCAGTAATTTCATCCAAAAGAAACATACCCTATCATTTTCTGAACAACTGAGTGGTGAACTCACTTCTAATATTTTGAGATTATATTTGTATGCAGTATTAACTATGCGCATGCTCTGTCATGTCGATGATGCTGCTGCAACTGCAGGTTTTTTTCTTTTGAGACAGGGTTTTTCTCTGTTGCCCAGGATGGAGTGCAGCGGCATGATCACAGCAGCCTCAACCTGAGAGGCTTAAGTGATTCTCCCACCTCAATCTCCCAGTAACTCAGGCTACAGGCACATGTCACATGCCTGTTTAATTAAAAAAACAAAAAATCGTAAAGACAGGGTCTCCTTATGTTGCCCAGGCTTGCATCCTTTTTAAAAATCATTTTTTCACATGGTCTTAAGATAGAGATTGCTTGTGGAGATTCATGCATTACAGACTTAAATTACTTTTTAACAACATACAACAAACACTTAATACATTAAAGTTAACTTTTAAAAAGTTGTTTTGATTTGTGAAGCATTACTCCGAATTATTGTGGTATCTTTGAATTCTATTAATACTGCTTTTATCATGTCTAGTAAAGAAGTTCAAAACATTACAGTTCTCCTAATGCTCATTATTAAATAATGTGTCAACATAAATATAATTGGCCCTTAAATTTATAGTGTGCTATATAGTTTGCAAAGTGATTTTACCACCAATTATATTGCCTGACTTATTTCACAACCCTGTGAGATGGGAAGGGCTAGTAATTAGTTACTAGTCTTCTTGTGTATGAGGAGACTAAGGATTAAAACAGCTAAAATCCCTGCTTAAAGCCAAATCGACAGTAAGTATATAATTGAGTACTAGGCCCCACAATGAAAATACTCTCTCTACTCTGGTATTAGGAAAATGGCACACTACTCAGGAAATTACTCTTATAAACTCGACCATTGCATCATCAAGGCTTTTGGATTTAATTCTATGACAATTAACACAAAATCATCATCCAAATGACTGTCTGAAATTTCTGTTGAACTAAATAGCAGTTAAGTAAAATGATCCACTGACGAGGGTTGAATATGATCATGATCCTGTAAAGGGTATTCATTTTAATAATATTTCATGCACATCAAAAAGAACTAATTTTGAGTTCATTTTAAATTCTGACCAAATCAAGTTTTATTTTTCCACTTACAAGCTAGGTTTCCTTCTTCTATTTTTCCTCCAATCACCTCTTGCAGCTTGCCAGCCTTAGAAAGTTCATCATTACACTCTACCTGCCTTTCTGCATTACTTTGATGAATGTAAAGGTAGTATAGCCAGTTTTTTTTTAAGTATTATTATTACTTCTTATGCTGTCTTTTTTTAAGGAACATGCAGATTTTAAATCAAGCCAGGCACAGTGGCTCATGACTGTAATCCTAGCACTTTGGGAGGCAGAGGCAGGTAGATCACCTAAGGTCAGGAGTTCGAGACCAGCCTGGCCAACATGGCAAAACCCTGTCTCTATTAAAAATACACAAATTAGCTGGGCATAGTGGCACATGCCTGTAATCCCAGCTGCTTGGGAGGCTGAGGAAAAAGAATTGCTTGAACCCAGGAGGCGGAGACTGCAGTGAGCTGAGATCCTGTCATTGCATTCCAGCCTGGGCAACAAGAGCAAAACTCCATCTCAAAAAAAAAAAAAAAAAAAAAAAAAGAAAAAGAAATCAGAGATACGGTCTTGCCCTGTTGCCTAGGCTGGAGTGCGGTGACATGATCATAGCTAACTGCAGCTTCAAAATCCTGGGATCAAACAATTCTCCCACCTCAGCCTCTCTAATAACTAGGACCACAGTCATGTGCCACCTTTATTTTTGTAGAGATGGGTCTCACTACATTGCCGAGGCTTGTTTCAAAGACCTGGCTTAAAGTGATCCTCCCCCTTAACTTTCCAAAGTATTGAGATCACAAGAGTGAGCTACCATCGCCAGCTAGTATATTTTTTGTATAGAATACTCATTGGGCTGTGTTCAATTTTAAATACGTATAATTCATTAAGGAATCAGTTCTAAAGTACATGAATGTTGATCAACTTTGCTTCAGGAGTTTTAAAGTACATGTTTTCCCTTTCTTAGATAACATTCTTTGTCATGGAGGCTCTTTTCTCTTTGAATATCATTTATAAAAGCTGTCACTTGCCTTGAAAAGAAGTTCATTTTTCTCACTGTCCTCCTATGAGAAACTTCTATTTGTTCCCACTATTCAGATGTCTAGAGCTAAATGTCCCAGTCTCTACTCAGCTTCCTCATTGTTACACTTTACTCCTATAAAGCACCCTATGACCTTCCGCAATTTTTATTTTCTGCTTACAGTCTGTTTCTCATGCTGCAGCCAAAGAGCACTGCTTGCTAAAGTAAAAGAAAAAAAAAAAAAGTGCTACAATTGTTTAGTACTGTTACCCATTTGAGTAATACCTTAAAATAACCAAACATTTTTGTCATCAAGAACTGTTTATTATGACACTATTATATTTTCTTCAAATTGCTATAAATTGTTAACTAAGATATTGTACATTTTGCTTGATTCCACATATATTTCCTGGGCTGTGTTTATCCCCACTTTTTTGGCCAAATGAGTTAAATGCATTTAAAAAGCTTCCTATGAGCTATGTTTGTACCAGTGGTTCTCAAACCACATCGGACTCACCTAGGTTTGGGACTCACTCATTTAAATAACACATCACTCACCACCAGGCTTATTTATAACAGAAAGTGAAGTGCTGGTTGCCTAGGTAATTTCTCTAGATCAAGGACAAAAGTCACTTAGCCTTTTCTCCAGTCTAGAAATCTGTTTGCTCTGCTAATTGAACTACGCTAATAAAATCAATAATGTCCCTTACCTTCAGTGAGGTAGGAAAGAAATCCATTCTGAATCTGCGAAGAAGCTGCTTTTCCTCCTGTATGCTACCTGCTAGTGTAGATCTTGGCATAACACACTATTTGGCAAAAGGTAAGTGTATCGAAGTAAAAACCATATTTCTGGTGAGTTCATTCATTCCTATTAAAGACTTAGATCTCTTTTCCTGCAAACATTGTCACTGAGTGTGAATGTAACTGGTTTCTTATTTTTGAAAATCATGGGGGGG